ATAATTCTAACCTCAGTGGCATGCAAACGTATGATTTAAGATGCAATTTAGAACACATCATTCAAAAATATCTCTTAAACGAAAAAATTTCGAACGTTGCTCATGGTTTTGATTAAATTATTTTATGATAGATGTTCCCTGTAAATTTAAGCAACTCAAACATCCTGAGTAGGATGATAGATTCGTGTTTCGTGAAGCAATATTTTTGTGTAATTTCATTTGCTGAGACAAAAATGGAAATTTGAAAACCGTAACCAGACGTTTCCATTTTTGTCGATCACAACTTCACATAAGAAAATATAATTTTTAAGTGTAAACTGACGTGTTTTTACGACATGACAATGATCTATTTTCTTTTTAATTCAGTTGTCAAGAGAAAAACAAGTCAAACATTACGTTATTTGATATTATGTAAAAAACAAATTTACAAATCTTTGTACTTTCTAGGACTTGTGTTGTGACCATTGCCAAATTTCTTTATTGAAAATTTGATAAGAAGAGAATTATCTAAACAATAAAACCAGGACAAATTAACAATAAACATTTGCAATTCGAAGACACATCAAAATAATATTTCTGAATTCTTCACGGTCATCCCTCTCAGGCGATAGAAACACAGAAAATTAAATCTTATGTAAATTCTTCCTCACTTTCATTCTAATGGAGTGCTATGAAACGATGTAGTAAATTGAGAAATAGTTTTGATGTGTCTTCGAATTACCGTACAAATGTTTATTAAAAGTCTAGAATTTACAGTTTACTTTTAGCAAGAAACTTTAGAGGATTATTCAAGAATTTTCTCTTAATTAGAATCCGCCAGTAGACAAGAAAGCCTATATAAAACCATTGAATACTGGTCGTGGGTTCGCACCTGACAAACTGGCCGTGTGTTTTTGAGTTTTCTTCACATGTCTAACACCTAAATAGGGGCCTGTTTCCCGTAGAAAGCCCTCCTGGGAGGTACCCATTCGTCATCTATTCCTTATGTAGGTATAAAATATAATCAAAAATTTTATCAAAGAAGTGCTCATAGATAATTAAAATATATTAAAATTATACAAGAAAATATAAATCATTGTGGTTCATTTGACGACCATAGATTTAGAATATAATAAAATGTGTTAAACATGTTAAAGTATAGAAAACGTCATTCGTTTACCTACCAAACAATTTTCCAAATGTTTAAAGGATTTCACGGTAAGCGCACAGCAGGGATAATATATTAATATTAAGATGCAATTATTTATCCAAATTTATTATTTATCAGCAAAAGATTCTTTAAATATCAACTTAGCAGATTATAAAGAGTTAATTTACATTATTCATTTTAATATAAATTATATTTGAAACATCTCAAATTAATTGCGAAATATACTAAGAATTGAAGAAGGAAAAAATCAACAATATTTCTAGTTAAGAATTAAGAATTAAATATTTCAACACTTTTGCATTACTTGAAAATATTTTTAATGTTCTATGCATGATACTAAATTATAAATGCTATTATAAATCTTTAAAAAATGACCAACTTTTTTAAATATTAATCTTATTTATTTTAATTTGTACATGCAAATTGAGTATTAAAAGGACAGTATATAGAGTGACGAGAAGAGATGAAAGTACACTTATAATTTATTAACCCTCTGACTTATATTTGGAAATTTTAAATGCTTTTTAACTTAAATTATTATTTATAATTATATTATATTATATAAATATATTGTTTTCTAGTTATGAAGGTGGAGGAATGTTATATTCTTAGAAGATAAAACGTCTATCAAGAAGTTTTGACTATATTTTTGTTAATAGAAACTAAATAAATTTTTAATCAAATATTTAGATTTTTAAAGCGCTTTATTTTAATTAATATTTCAATTCCCAGAACGTTAATAAATTAATTAAAAGCATACAAATAAAATTTTAATATCGAATTTTGTTGTAACATAGTTTATCATAATTAAAATATACGAAAAATTAAAATATATTTCCGGGCGCTTTCGAACATTGCTCCAAGATAAATAACGTTCTATATTTTAAAAATTACCATGATAAGAGTAAAATGTTGAAGTAATTTTCCTCCTATCTACACTCTAAACGTCTAGAAACAGGTTTAATTTAATTCAGTAATTTTAATTTATTTAAATTTTATTAAAACAAGCTTTTATTGGCCGCGTTTTTCGAGAGTGATAGTAGAGTTGATTGGGGTGGCCCCATCCCCAAGTATATACAAGATATATACATATACACACATGATTAAATTCTACATTTACTTATGTTTATCGGGTTTGGGAATGGAGAAAATGGTAGGGATGGACCACCTCATAAAACATAATGCATTATCATTGAAGTTAGATATGCTCTCATAGTTTCAGCCTTGTATCTTAACTAGAAGTGGAGGAAATTTGAGTTGCAAGATTTAAGTGCATGATACAAAAGCATGTTAAATAAAAGAATTTAATTAATATTAATAAAGCGCCCAAGTCTACTAAAATGTACTTTAAGGAAATATACGCTGTTTAACTTCAATTTTAGCAGAAAAATTAACTAGTTCAGTATTATGTAAACGCTATAAAATTCACTTAATACGTCCTTCTGCTACGATGAGAATAAATAAGTAATATAATGCTCCAATTTCATCAATGATATTTGATGCAACACAGAAAAACCATGAAAATCAATGAAAATAAATGACATAAATAGGCCAAAGTAATAGAAAATTCTTTTCTATTTTTAATATATCTCTTATCAAAATTTTATATTTACTCTCAACGATATTCAAGAAACTTAAGTGCTCTCTCTGAAAGTAATTTTCTTCTATTATTTTCCATAAGAGGATTAATTAAAGCTAATTATTTAGAAGCTCCTTATTTTAATTAATACATTAATCACACGTGTATGGTCCATATTTAACCTATATTTTAAAATAAAATATTATAATAGCATATTAATTACATATACAGCTGCAAGTAACAAGTCTCTATTTCTAGACATAAAATTATCTTGAAATTTATGAAGTGGTGTGACATAAAATATGTGACCCCATCTATATAAATACACACGTGTATATATTATACAATGCCACTTCCGGCATATGCAACACTGAATAAACATGTGGCTACATAAGTGTATTATCGATAATTCATTAATTTGTTAACACGAATTTGCATCCTTTTATGCAAATTTTTATGTTAAATATATGAGCACTTAAAAGCTCTTGAACAACATAAAAGATAGTAATATGAATAAACAATTCGAAAGTTACCAAATAAAAATATTTTTCCTTATACAAGTAAATGTATTTTTAAATGAATTGTGTTTAAGATCAGATAATTTCTATATAACTTGATAGATTTTTTTTCGTTTATTATAAGTTTCACGTTTAAACAATGCGTTCGTTATCTTTTAATTTAGTACTTAGAAAATAGAAGAATTTAATGCATTGTTACTAAAAAGAATAGAAATAAAGATATAAAAATAATTTAATAAATAATTCATAAGAAATGCTACATTTAACGCATACAATTTATTTTGTTTTAAAGAAAAAAAAACTTAAAAAGCATCCAGCTTTTATAATATCTGAAAGAGAAGTGAAATTCTGTTAATTTTTAATTAATCAATTAAATTATTTAATTATAATGAAAATTATAAAGGCATATTATATTTATAGTATCGAGGCTTCTATATATACAATAAAAATATTGTTTTGTTAGGGGATGTTAAACTTTGTAAACAAAAATATGTTTCTAACAAACAGTTTGGGTCAGTGATTAGTTAGAACCGGTATAGAAGCTGCAAAAAGGTGTAAATTTTTTCCAATATGATTCGTTTAACATGTCTTCAATAACACTACTTTTTAACGTCAAGGATAACTAAATTAACTTTTTTACATTATAATAACCTAAATTATATTTATATCTATAGAAAATATATCGTAAGAAATGTTTAAGTATGTTATAAATCGCACTTTTTTTATTTAAAGTTAAGCTTATTTTGCAATAATTGTTTTTATTTTTAAACAAATTAAAATGTAATTTTATTGCAAATTAATATACTCTCCATTAACGATAAAAAATAATCGTTTATTAGTAAATTAAACAAAAGTTTTGAATATATTTAACAATTTATAACGATAAATAAAATTTTCTACAAAAAAAATAAACAAAATAAAATAAATTTCCAATNTCGAATTGATCAAAAATTACGTAAGAAAACGGGAATAAAACATTTGGTTCATTAGAAATGTTTTGTTAATTTCGACTGTCAACTATTGAAGAGTATGCAATGAAAGAGCATCTGTCAACGGTGTGAAAAGTCAGTTTTAAAGGAAAAAAAATAAAAGAGATGGTTCAATATCCAAGTTGAGTGGCATTCGCTGTCACAGGCGTCACTTAAAACTACGTCCCTAAGCCTTTATCCCAATATATTGTTGACATTTTTCTACTTGGAGTTTTTTCTTGGATGAATCTTTTGCAAGTCGATTTTGATGGTGGATTGAAGAAGATGGAGTTGCCCCCTCTTCTTCTTCTTCTTCTTTTTTTCATTTCTTTTTCTTCGTTCTTTCATCTCGGAAAATTAAAGTTGGCAACAAATCTTGAATATTTAATATATTCTGATGCGCTGTTTAATTTTTAATGCCTTCATGAATTTAAAAGCATTAATGTATCGGTCTGTTCGTGAATTTATAACATAAATCGCAAAAACGTAAATGAAAGAATTTAAAAAAAAATTTCTTTTTTATTAATCGCATAAGGAAAATATAAAAGTGGAACAGTCACGTGCAGGTTCCACTCTCACTTTTCTTCAAAAAGTGTACCAACAACTTTCACTTTTTAATAGTTTAAAAATACTTTTAGCATTAAAAAAAAGAATGCATTTTTTTTCATAAACGAACGACTGGTTAAATATAAACTTTAACCGTAAATAAAAACTAAACCGATTACTTAAACTGGTTTAAATATTTATTGAGTATATTTTTATTAAAAGGGAAATAAAATACTTACTGTAAAATGCCCATGGTTTTAATTTCTGCAATGCAAACACCAATTGTAACAAATGAGCTTGGCAACGTCCCGATATTTTCAATTTCGAACTCTTTTCTAGGAAAAATGGTAAAGCTTGTTTGATGATATCTTCGACCGTACTTTTCAAAGATTTTTCCATTTCCTCCCATGATTTAACAGCTTGCATCTCTGGAGTCATCGTAGTTGTCGGGATTTCAGTAGTCGAAATTGCTACGGTCATATTTATCATAGAAGATACATCGGTACCATCTTCTTCGGGATCATCGTGGCTTCGTGATGTCACTAAGTTTGCATTAGTTACAGTTTGTTGGCATTTAGCGAACACAATTAGCAAAGGGAAATATATGAGAGTCAGCTTCATCGTTCGCATGGTTGTGTTCTAACTGGTATGGTTGATCCGACTAGAATCATACCCAAGAGCAGTTTTATAACTGGTTGGAGGAAAGACCTTGAAACTCCTTTTCTGTTTTCTCTGCCTATGAGTCAATAACACTTTTTCTATTTTCGAAATAATTGTTATAGTGGATTAAATTTCGAAATTTTTATATATTTTTTAAAAATAATTAATTTTAAAAGTTTAAATACTAATTTTAAAAAATTAAATGAAAGTATTTAATGATTCTACATAAAAACTATTTACTTAAATTATGAAAAATTGTAAAATATAATCAAATACCTTTTTTTTTAACGAAAATTAAAGGTTTTATACTTGAATTGTGAATCCATCTTCTTCAGGCAACAAGGAAAACACATACTGGTAATGATAACGAGGTTTAATAATGCTTAATCCTATTGGTATCTATGCTCGTACCCATTGTTATTGGCATGCTTGATTTACTACAGCTACTTCCTAGTTTGATATATACATATGTATTATTAAAATATAGATTAAAAAAAATTGAACTTTTACTAGTAGAAGTGTCTAACAATAAAATTTTAAATACTTTTACAGCTAAAACATGCAACTTTGTATTGCATAAAGAGGTATTTCGTAACGATCCCATTCTTTTCTAAACAACATGATCTACGAGATTTAAGAATATTGTCCTCTTTACTTTTACTAAAACAAAGAAATTTGTATGTTTATAATTATTTTTTCTCTCTTTTTCAACGCATAAATCTTAAATAATGCTTTCGTTTTCATTCTATTTTATTAACGGTGTGTCTATCGATTCTGTATAAATACACCTTTAAATTTAGATTTTCTTTTTTTAATTTTATAGGAAAAAGTTAATATATTTATCAATGAAAATATATTTATATAAAAAAATTGACCTACATAAAAAAATAATTAGATAAAACAATGTTTTGAATGGCTTCTTTCATTCATACTTTAAAGTAAAATCAATATAAATCTTGAGTATTTATTATAAATAATAAATATATTTACTATTTTTATATTGCACTTATATTATATATATATTTAATTGCTTTGAGATAAATTGATTCGAAAGTACATATGTACTTAAAAGCAATACAAGTTGCATTTTGTGGAACCGGTTCAAACATGGTACAGCTATTGGCTAAAGTTAGATTTCGACTTGATAAAAACTTGTCAACAAATAAATCTATAATTGTACTCATTCTAAATTAGAGATTAGAGAGTTTCCAGTATATATTTAAAATTAGAAATATATGTATAACTCATTTAATTACCTATTTAAATATATCTCACTCTATGTCTCTATACTTAGCAATATATAATGTAGTTTATTTAGTATACGAATATGTTTTTAAAATATTAACTAGTTTTCTCGAGTACGTTTTCTCCGAACTACAGTCAAACCTTTGAACAACGGCCACTGACGGAAATATAAAAGATGGATACTGTTTGGAAGTGGCCGTTGCTTGGAGGTTCGACTGTACATATTTCAATTATTGAAATACAATTTTACATAGCTATAAGCTAAAATATTTTGTATTTATTTACATTAATTATCTATTCAAGATTTTAGAATAGTTCAAGGAACTTTTAAAATAGAAAAATCCTTGAATTTTATGATTTTGAAAATATTTTGAAAAATGAGAATGTAATTTGAAGAAACGATATTTTCTCAAAAATATTTTAAACCTTGAACGCTTCTTAAGAATAAAAACAATATTAAAATTTACCAAGAAATTTTAATGAAATATAATAATTTTAGTCACAGGGATGCCAATTTCCACTTCGGATTAGAAGGACATCATCATTAGAAAATTTCATATGCAATTATAAAGATTAAATTGATGTACACATGATAAAAATACGCATTATAAAAGCCTAATGAAACATATAAAAATATATTTTATTAATAGAAAACGTATGTTTTATAAACTTGGATATAACTAAATCATGAATACGTTGTAATAAATGATACAATTAAATAAAAAAAAAGTAACGATATGCAGACGTAAAGAAAAACTTTTTGAATTTTAAATAGTTTATTTTTTCAATATAAAATTGCACAATTTGGCATAATTTTATTAATTTTAACACTTTTTTCAAACTAGACATTTATAAATAATTGGGATTGCGTTAATATTTTGTTTCATCTACGTAATAATTGCATAAAAATAATGCCAAAAAATTATAATTTTATAACACTAAGTCTGGTACGATTGCATAAAAATATGGTAAAGGATATATTAGTTTTTGCATAATTTTTTTAGGTATTTATGGTTATTTCATATTAATATTAATAAATGTAGCAACTCAGAACGGTGTTAAAAAAAAAAAAAAAAAAAAAACTTAAATGTACAGAATAATATGTGGAAAATCGTAAGTTTCTGTGGCAAACTGATTATAGTCTCAACGATTAGAGTATTATTTTCTATACATTATTCTGTAAATTTTTGTTTCTTGCGTGATAATAAGTTAATTTACTTATTAACACGCAAGAGTTATAATTTTTTATGGATTGATTATCAAGAAAAAATGTTCTTAGGAAATAAATAATATTTGATAAAATTGCCAGGACTATAATTGTAAAATTAATAAACAATTTAAGACTATACAATAACGAATCTTTCAATGTCCTTTCTCACATTTCAGGAAAATAACAGCCTTGCGGAGGAGAGGTGAGCAGCCTTTAATAAAAGGCTGCTCACCTCTAAACAGCGATCATTTTTTTTTTCCAGAAAAGTCCAACAAAAATGCATACAAAATAATCTCCAAATAACGACCAATTTTTCACGTTTCCGTCGGTGGCCATTCTTCGAATGTTTGCCTGTATTATATTTATTATGACTTTTTTAACATCTAGAAATTAATTTTCAGTTATTCACGTTAAAAATAGATAAAAAAAATCGTATTTGATTCTTTATAATAAATAAATTTATAATTTTGAACGAATCATATGTTAGAATTTGCCTCGATAATTTTATTATTTTTTGTTAAGTTTCCACAATTATTTCGTTTTAACTTAATGTTGATTTTAATTATTCAAAATAAAATTTATCGCAAAATTAGAAACAATATAAGTTTACCTTGGTACTAGCAAGATACATATACTAAATACTAATTATAAATATATATACATATGTCTATTTATATCCATATATTTATAATACTATAAAATGTATGAGGATAAACTATAATCGTGATTTTACGTCTGGGAATTGCCCGAGGTTCTTAAGCCAAAAAACAATAACTCTTTTATAGGATAATAATTTAAAATTCAGATAAATCTTATAATCACAATGTTATAATGTTATTTTCTGAAATATATGTCATTTATAGCGCATTCAATGATTAATACAGTGGCATTTCGCTAATCCGAACGAGCACGCACGGTTTTTTTATTAGTTCAGATTAGCGAGATACTACTGTAGTTAGTAATGCCTAATTTACAGTAGTATAAAAATCATACTTTAGTACAAAAAATTGAAATAATGTAAACAATAAACTCTCATTTAATGGAATCGTTAAGTTCACAGAAATACTCAGGAGGAAGAGGGAATTTGCACCCGTAATTATGAATATATAAATAAATTTACTTGTTAGTGATAAATATTTAATGATTTAATGTGATTTAATGATTAGTGTGATTTAAAGGACGAAATCAGGGGATGCATATGGTGCTGCAGCACGCTATTATTACTAAAACAATCAGTTTTTTTATCTTAAAATATAAATAAATACAATATAAATAAATAAATACAAATACAGTAGAGCATAGATTATCCGAACCCCCATTAACCGTCACATCGGTTAACCGACCGTTCTAGTCGGCAAATTTCAAATGTCTGCTAGTGATGTGGCGCTACAATATTTGGCTATGTCTTGGCTATTTTAATATAATTTGTTAAATTTTTTGCGTGTTTTAGCTGGCAACACTGGCTCGACCATGAAACGGAGGCCAGTATTTAAACGAGATTTAATTTTCTAATTATGAGTGGTTGGTTGTTTTGTGAGCAATAAAATAATTTTAAAATAATTTTTAACGATACAATAGCGACGATTATTATTTTAAAAAAAATTTGTTAGGCTTAACATCGATGAAAATTCAACGCGAAGTAGGTTAACGATATACTAATATACTAATTACATTTGACTAATTAATAGCGATATACTAATATACTATGCTAATAATGTATTTTTTCATTATTTTCGGTTATCCGATTTTTTCAGTTATCCGACCAACCCGAGTCCCCAATTGAGTCGGATAATCGATGCTCTACTGTATAAATAATCGCATGACTTCAGTAGGTAGGATTAGGTAACCAAAGTAATTATAAGATATAGTGGAACCTCGGTATACGACCTTAATCCGTTCCTGATGTTCGGACTTATACCGAATTGGACGTATACCAAACCAGCCTTTCCCATAAGAAGTAATGTAAAAATGATTAATCCGTTCTCGTGTAAAAAAAAAAAATGGCTGACTTTAAACATCTCGCTTTCCTGGCTAGTTCCTGCTTGATTTTTTATTAGATCAGCATGTATCTTTTTAGCTTTCTCGCAAATAATTGCTCCCATACGCGGTCTCCAGCACATTGTTTTTCAGTTATCCAAAGCAAAAGCAATTTCTTAACATAATCTAATGTCTTCGATCTCTGTTTAGAAATTGATTTAACTCTTTTCGCAACGTTAGTGTTAGCAGATTTAATAATGTCTTTATTTTTCACGATTGTCGATATCGTCGTTCTCGGAATACGGTATGCAACAGTTAAAATCTCGAACACGCGTGCCATCTTCATATTTCTCAACAATCTCTTTTATCAGTTTCATTGTGATTCTAGTAATTTTTTTAGTTTTCTGTTGCATTTCATTTGCCTTCTTGCAATTCATGATGAATTAAAATAATAAAATTTTACTTACAAATTAAAATCAGAAGAAATTTAACAAAATTATAAACCGTTGCACCGAGAACGTCTAGTCTGGTCTAGTATACCGATAGTGCTACCTGTTCATAGATGGCGCGTAGAATTAAGTCGTATACCGAACAAAAGTCGTGTACCGAGCAAAATTTGTTTCGTCCAAATAGGACGTATTCTAAAGCAGACGTATACCGAGGTACCACTGTAATTGAATAGCATACTCCGGCAGGAAACGAGCCTTGGTCTTCTTCGAATCTACCTTGAGTAGCACCCATATTCTCAAAATCTTGGATACACCACTGAGTTCTACATAACAGGAACAGAGAACCCATGAAAAATTTGATGGATGCAATCTAATTTCAACCGGGTTCGCCAGAGCTGCAGGATTGTATCATTCGGATTATACTTTTTATTTCAGTAGCAAGTTTTTCGTACTCTATAAATTAAATCTGTGTTAATCTCAGGGCTGTGGAGTCGCGTAAAAATCTAATGACTCCAACTCCGATTCCGACTCCGACTTTTCCTTACCATCCGACTCCGACTCTTCCTTACCATCCGACTCCGACCAGGGGCGGACTTGTTACCGAAAGAGACCCGGAAATTGATGTCATCACGTGACCTCAGAATAAAATATTCAATAAATAGAGTTCTAATAAAAATAGAACGTAGAAACTTTTTATTCCAAAGCTAACAGACTTCTCTAAGTAATATATAGGCTAAATATGTATTCGATAATTGTTACTTTTCTTTCTGAAAATGTAGCGCTCGGTCAAAAAATGACCCCTCCCAAATCTTTACATTTTTGGACTTAGGACACCTTGGAATTTCGATATATGCAAAAGATTTGAGGTTTTTTTCTATGTGCGTGGTTGTTAGACTGTGTGTGTGTGTAGAGCATGATTTTGTTCACCCTGTTCGAAGCCTAATAATTTCTGTGGTCAAAGTGGTCAGAATCGGAGTCAGATGGTTTAACACAGGAGTTAGTTATTAAGCGTCAAAGTGGTTGAACTAAATCATGTCCCCATATACATTCTAGCATCTTAGGCGAGAACATCTTAACGGGTTTTACTGTACTATTATAAAATGGCAAAAATGCTTACTTTGAGAGTAGAGACGAGTTTTATTTTATTTTATTTTTTTAAATTTTGAACGCTAATAACGAGTAAAATATTCATTAAGAGATATGACACATGGCGACTTTTATGTCTTCACCCTGTCGATCTTTAAATAAGAACCAAAATTTAATAGTATTAATACCCCTTTATACGCCATATTTCGTTTCTTAAACTTTACCGTATTTACTGTTCTAAGATTATTANAAAAAAAAAAAAAAAAAAAAAAAAAAAAAAAAAAAAAAAAAAAAAAAAAAAAAAAAAAAAAAAAAAAAAAAAAAAAAAAAAAAAAAAAAAAAAAAAAAAAAAAAAAAAAAAAAAAAAAAAAAAAAAAAAAAAAAAAAAGTGGAGGGTCAAATTTGACTTGATTCCAATACTTTTCCGTTTTATATACATAACAAGTTAGGAAGTAAAAAGGAGTCGGAGTCGGAGTCGTCAAAAAATCCGCCGACTCCGGCTAAAACACCAAAACTCCACGACTCGGACTCCGACTCCACAGCCCTGGTTAATCTCCTTTGTCAGCAAAATTACTGGAGCTTCCACTGCCGCGGTCCAGGATAAATATTTAGTATAGCGTACTGTACACTACATATTAGTGTTATTGTTAATAATCATGAAATCTGTAATCGCTATAGAACAATTTACATAAAAAGCTTTATTTCAATACAACTGTATTATTCTGTTTATAAGACCTAAAAATCCTACAATTGTATTAATTCAATATTTAAGAAAACTGGGAAAAACATTGATTAATATTCGGGCCAATGGTATATAAAAGATATAAACATATAATATGATGAAATGGTACATAACTTCGTCAGAAAGTAGAGATGACAAACAAAAACCGCCCATTTATATATTGTTTTTAAAAATCACCGTTAATCACCTGATTTTTTTCTAACCAATCACATCAAGAAATTTAAATTTTGGGGGAGGATTAATTTTCAGATTCAAATTCAAAATTGTTTAGTTGGCATTTGCCAGCCAACTGTAAACAATTTTGAGTCAAAATCACAATTTCAATTTCGGAACGTTAAATGGGCGGGAATTTAATACCAATTAGAAATCGTTTAACTGTTGATACCGAATCAAACTTAAATTTTAAATTATTAATAAAAACAAATGAAATTCGTTGACAATTTCAATTTCGAACTTCATTAGCATTGGAACGTTAAATTAATTAACTTGGTAATTTCGATAATTTCCGATGTTAGTAGTGTAATGTTGGTAACGATATAAGCTAATATATTCATTTTTCCGACTTCGATATTGGAAAACGTCGTATCGCTAGTCGATTATTTGATAATGTCAAACATTACTAATTACCTTACCACTTTGGAATCCGAGATCGAAGCCGGGCGAGCAACTTTTCAGGAATTTTTCATGAGCGATATGTTACGGATATGTTGAGTTCCTCCTTCACATTCGTTCGCCCTCATTATCCGCCTGGCCAAACCCATGATCAGGCCCAACAGTGGCCTTTGATCATCTATATATTGCGTTTCCAAAGCCTATGAAATCAAACCATGATCAAGGGCGTCGAGAGCTTGTATCGGGCCCAAGATAGAGGGGGGTCTTTTAGCACCCATCAGTGGCCACTCAGCGATTGATGGGCGCTACAAAATATAACCACTAAACACTGGTAGTTGGTTGTGGGTTTGTGCCTCGACATCGGACTGGTACTTGGAATTTTTCTGGTTTCTTCACGTTAGTAACACCTAAATAGGGGCCAGTTTCTCTTAAAAGACTTTCCGGAAGGCATTCCCCTTCGGCAGATTGTCTACATGTTGCGTTGCCATAACCAAATAAACCCAAATAAACCTTGTCTTTTAGGGTATTCCTTTATCCATTTTTTTTTTTGAAAAATAAAATACGTAGGTTGATTTCCTTATTTAAAAAGACCACTCTTATAAATTTTATTGTCTGTTAGTAAAAATGACATTAATTTTAGAGGTAGGAACCACTACGAATCTCTAAGTTTTGTCCGAGCCTGGGGGAAAAAAGAACCCTTTTAATGTCAACTAGACAGAAAGGGCAAAAATAGAAAGTACGTAAAATTACATATCAATATTTGGGGTTACCGAATTCATAAAAAATGATGAAAAATCAATACAGACAGGTAAATAATATTTTCAAGAAATTTTATTTTCAACAAGAAAGTAATATTGTATATAACATATTTCTTAACAAGTAAAATATTACATAAATATCAAGATCCTTCATAAAAATGAATTGTTTTTAACACGTAATTAACAAACAATTCATGTATTGTAAAACAATACTTTCAATAACTCTATTGTACTTCATGTCCATTACATAACAATATTGTAGCAATTTATTTTCCAACATAAAATGGTTTGTGTATAGTATATTTTACATAACAGGATTTAAAAATTAACTAATTAACAATATTAAGATTAAAATCGTATATAATATATAAAACTAAATCTGTAAATATACAATATAATACTCTTGCTGAATGTTGCCAATACTTTTTACATATTTATTGAGCATATAGAATTTGTTAATTGTAATTACAGAAATATTACATCTACATCCCAAAATATTATATTGTTATATTATCTTCTCATTTTCTATGATATTNAGCCGGCTAAACTTATAATACATCAATAGTTTTCATGGATGAGGAATGATAAACCGAATAATCCAAGAAAAATTACGAGTATCAGAACGAATTCGAATTTAAATCTCGAAGGAGATAAGACCTTCACAAACTACAGGAAGATGATGAATATCTATATGTTAAAATATTAAAATCATAATTTAACACATATAAAAAATTCGCTTGTATAACAAGATATGTTCTAGTGTATAAAAAGTTAAGGGAATTTTATCTTGATATTCAAGTAAATGCTTTTTTTTTTGTACTTGTTTCGGAAGAATTTATTGCATATTTTTTTTAAAATTCAATAAGTAGAATTCAAAAATGGTTGAGCCTCATTAATTATAATGGGTAACTAATGTGTTATAGTATGTAACTTGATTTATATTTAACAAACTGCTGCATAAAAATGTAGAGAATTAATTTAATTATTGAAATTTATATCATTCGATCAAAATTATAATAGATATAATTATAAAATTCGTGATAAAAGTAATAAAATAAAACACCATGGAATCAATATATAAACAAAAATTAACAACTGGATAGCTGAGGCGATTATGGGAGATCTGAAATCGAATCCGGGCGAGCAACTCCCCAGGGATTTGTTTTTTTACATGAGGTTTGTCCCGAATATATCGAGTCATGTTCGTGCCCTCTCATCCCCATTGTGGGTCTGGCCGAACCTATGATGGATATGGAGAAAAAGGATTTCTAAGTGTCTACAAGGAAGAACGAGTTTAAAATGCAAAAAAATAAAATCAAATAAAATAAAAATTAGACGAATACAAAATAAAATAAACACAGTTTCGTACAAAACAAAAATACATTTTGTCCAATATACAGATTTACACACGCTACAAATACTATAACGAAATGTGTTTTACGTAATACGTAAAACGTTAGAAATACGAAAAGAATTTTTGTTTATATTCAATGATTCTGCAGCTTAAACAGGAAATACTAAAAAGAAAGAAATGCCAAAAATTTATTGATTACAAAAGATGTAAAAATTTCGAACGATATAAATATTTATCTACAAATACTAACATTACAAATATTCAGACTAATACACGTTTGTATAAAGAAAATATACACATGTAATGTATACTTCAATCAATACTACACAATTTCAATAAAAAGTAATGGTTATGATGACATTAACACGTAAAACAAAATAAAATATTCGTGTTTAAAGATAAAAATTGAACTTTAAAATGTCTAATTTTACAGAAGTAAATAAAAATTCCTCACAGATGAACAATGTGACAATTATCCAATTGTCAATGAATACAATTAATTACCAATTGTTACAAAGACTTTTTAAAACAGCAATAAAAGCACATAAATCACATAAAAAACAAATACAACTAAACACAAAAATGCAAATAATATATTTTGAATATCTTGAGTTATCATCTTATCAATAGAAATGTTACATTTAGTCGCCATTTCGTATTCTAACATCATTCCATCAGTAAAAATACCATTCAAAAATATGTCCGATTTTAATTATGGCCTTTATATACGTATATACACAGTCAACACTCTGAGTAACGGAAATATAAAAAATGGACGTCGTTTAGAGACTGTTTTGTATGCATTTCTTTTCAAAAAATGAAAGTTTCTGGGAAAAAATGGCCACTTTCATTTGTTCAACTGTATATACGCTATATTACATACGGTAAAAGTAGTAAAAATTTACTTTAAAATATTCAAATTTAGACTTACTTTTTACTTATTACATAATGTTTTTCATTGCACATAATAAATTTGTTTAATAATGATTTCATTAATGAATTCTCACAATTTCATTGAGCAAATGTATTGCATACTTTACAGCATTCCTGTACATTTCCGATGGATTGTATGGGATTTATGCATTGAAATACCATACAATCGATATGGATTATTTTTCGAATTCTAGATTAATTTTGGATGTTAATATCTACACATATTTTTATAATTTGCAGTTATACATGCTACTTGTCTCTGCAAGCTGATTGCACCTTTTTGTATCCATATTAAAAGACCTTCTAGAATTTAATGTGTCGAATTTATTGATTTTTTCGTTATTTGGGATAATTTTAATATCGTTTTTAAATACGTTTGTGTTACATTCCAAAAGTGGATGATAAAATATAATTTTCTTCAAAGAAATTACTGGCCCATCAATTATCAAATAAACGACGAAGGCAACTGCATACAAAGTTACAATGTAAGCGATTAGAAAGAATATCTGAAAAAAATGGAAAAGTAATTAAATTAAGATTTAATTTAACAAAATTAAATTTAAGTAATATTATATTAAAGAAAAATAAATAAATTTATAATTAGAATAACGTCTTGGGAGTTGCAAAAAACTTTTTGAAACTCTATTAAGGTCAAAGACCAACGTGCTTAACACCCTATTTATTATAGTTAAATAGTTCAAGGATGGTAAAAAATTTCTAAAATAATGAAAAATAAATAAATATCCAGTAGATAATCTATTTTCTTTATTTACAATCTAGTTAAGATTATTAAGCTAATTAGTTTCCAATACTGTTAATATATTCATGAATATTGCTTAAAATTGTTACAATAAAGGCTCACTAATCTATTTATTGCAGTTAAATAGTTCAAGGCTGATTAAAAAATGCTTAAAAAATGCATATTTGAATATTCATACCGCGCATTAAATAGTTTATTCATTTATATTCATTATAGAAAACTGGAAAATCATAAATACCTAGCTAAATAATATTGATATAATGTTATATATTTATTTAAAAAATCTAAATGCAAATTTTAAACATTAACAGCTCTCTTAATTTGCATTTTTTACTAGTTTTAAGGCGAATTTTATAGAATAAAATACTTACAAATTCGATCCGGCTGACGTATACATGAAAACGGAAAAATCCAAAAACCATGTTATATGTGATACTATAACCCAAAAATGCTGCATAAGTTAATTTGCTGGCAACAGCAAAGATAGGATTGGACAATATATAGTTAATAAACCCTGTAAAAATGTTAATAAAAATATTAAAAATGCAATTATTTAAGAATTACATTAATTAATGTAATTTATATTTATACCTCCGTATCCGTAATAACATACAAATACTATCCAACCAATTCCAATACAAAATGCTAATCTATGTGTGGCTGCAAATATACTCGATAGGAGAACTTCAGGAAGATCTCCTCTATTCCAAGGATCGATTCCAAACAATATACTACTCCAAAGACATGTTGAAATGGTCCATCCTAAGATCTGCACCGGCTAAAAATAATCATTTATTATTAATTTTACTAGTTTATTGTAAATTATATAAATGTTTCTAAACATAATTTAAACAGGAATTATTAAAAGAATAATAGCTATTTTATGTATATAGAATTTTTTAAAATTAATGTCCTAATTTATATTCAGCACACACAATGCTTTCACTTCCTTGTATTATCCAGTTTTTATAATGCATTACTGTGTTGTACACATCCCAAAAACAGATATAGATTTTGCTCTTTGTCTATAATTAAATTAATAAATAAGGCATAAAAAGTTAAAATATTTAGTCCATTGTTATAAAAATCGGGTTTTATTTAGAGTTTATTTTATGTAAACATTGGTTTTCGGAGAAACACTCGACCCTTTTTTCGTAATATATGTAAATGTGACGATGCCACGATGTACCAATCTAATCAATTTTTATATAAATTTAGATTATAATTACGCACATTTTATATATCCCAAACTCACGAATAAGTTATATAACGTAAATTCCGTGCTATTTTTAGATTTATAATAATAATATACGAGATATTCATCAAGAAATAACTCTATTTTGAGAGTGAGTTTAGATAGGAGTTTCTAAAATTGTCTGATAAAACGATACGAAGCGTTGATATGCCGGAAGTTGTTACTATAACAGCACTTTTCTAGATGGAACTACGAAGCACGCACCAAATTAGGAAATGTGTCAGTAGGTTAATGAAATATTTTACATTATTCTCAACGTTTATAATTTGTTTGAATGCTTTTAAATATAAATATCGCTTGTTTAAAACAATTGAAGAACTGGCTTCTTTTTTCGAATAAATCCATAATTATTCCCAGCAGGATAGGGGAAAAAGAGATTTTACAACAGTCTCAATTTAAAAGTCTTAATAAATTTAGTTGCTCCAGGATATTTTATAGTATAATAAATTAATTTATACAGGAAAAACTGAGCGCATAATATCTAAAATTTAAGAGAAGAGGAATTATACTTCTTATAATAGATTCTTTTCCTCAATTAGACAAACTACAAGAATATCGAAAAAATATACTAAATTATAGTGGTTTATTTAGTAATAAACAGAAATTATACTAAATATATATATGTAAATCTTGGGAGTCTTCACAATTCATCCTTTTCATACTTCAGGAACAGGAAGTAATATAGTATAGTCGACCTTCTTTTGCAAGCGCATCCCTTTCCTAAATATGCAAATTGCTAAAACTTACATCCTACTTTTCATTATCATACAAGCGATGAATTTTAAATCATCTCAATGCAACTAAATGGAAATTTCAGATATTTAAACAGAAAAAAACAAGGCCAATACCTGTGTGATCTTGGTTCCTGTGGTATGAAAAGGACAAATTGTAGACTTAAAAGGTTTGTGTTTTTACTTCTTATTACGAATATTTTAAATAAATATTTATTAATATATTTTCGTATAATAATACTTACTATAGATAGTTTTACTTCGGGTTTATTAACGAAAAGATAACCCAAGGCTAATCCAGCGCAATAACAGGCAATGTGATCGTGTGGTAAATGATAAATAATATCCATGTAATTATATATTTTCCTATAGAAAGAAAAAAACAATTGTTTAAAATAACTTTCTTAATCTTGTATCTATTATTATTGTATGTAATATTAGCAGGTATAAGCCTTAATAACTGAACAGTTATTTAAAGAAATTGTGGCCTACTTATTTTGTTTAACGCTCAATCAAAGTAAAAAAGTTATCAGTAAATAAATAATTATAAAATTAACCGGAATATTATATAAAAAGTTACTTTTTATTAGACATTAATTTTAGACATTATTAGACACAAATGGACATAAAACTAAAATTATAAAAATGTTAATTTTTATAATTTTAATTTTATGTCCATTTGTGGCCGGTGAATAAACACTAGTCGTGGTTTTGCGCCTGACTAACGGATGGTCGCGTAAACTTTTCCCTCGTTTTTTTCACGTGCCAAATACTTAAATAGAGATCAATAGGCTGGTAGAAGTCCTCATAGAAGACATCTCCCTTGCCCTGCGTTGTGTTGTCCTATTCCCAACGAACCAGTTTTAGTTACATAGTTGTTTTGTTTTTATTGGTGTACGACAACGCGACACATTGACGATCTGCCAAGGGGGAAGTTCCTCCTGGAAAATCTTTCATGGGAATGTAATTCCTATTTAAGTTTACTAACTTAAAGAAAACCCGGAAATCTCCACGTAGCCAGCCCGTTGGAGAGGCGCGAACTCACGACCAAATAATTAACTACCAGTGTTCAGTGGTTTTATTCACTCGGCTAATGGGTAGGCTCCCGGTTATATAGCTATATCTAAATTAGCTCTAACAAGGCTATAAGGAGGTATAAAAAAGAAAATAAAATTCTTTTTTAAACTCTGCTTAGTAGAACTAAGCAGAGATTAAATACCCTTGTTAGAGCTAAGACACCCTTTTTTCGACCAGCCCAGAGCGAGTGTTACTGGGTGATGAAGGACGGGCCCAATGCATCCAGACAGATCGCCCCAAAAAAATTCCTGGGAGTTGCTCTTCTAGATTCGGTCCTGAATCCCCAGAGCCGTAGGCTGATGCTTTAACCGCCTCAACCATCTAGTCGCCAATATAACATAAATAGTAGTTTTAAAATTATAATTCATTTTAAGTTTATAAGATTACGTGCCGTTTTGTTTTGGTTCATCAGTACCAGAGCGGATAATAACACTGGTTCACGCTTCACCCACAGGCTGCCATACGGAGTTTTCTGAGTTTCATCACATGTAATCCCTAAATATGGACCAGTTTCTCCCTAGAATCTATCAAGGTGATACCTCCCTTAGAAGGTTTCACCTTGACAGATCATCATTCATGTATACAATGCCCTTACCTATCAATCCTTTTATTTTGTAAAATAAATATGATTAACATTGTGCCCATTAAGAGAATGATTTATGCATTGATAAAAATATTTTAATAATAAATCAGAGAACTTTCAGATTCCGTTTTCTATGATAAATATTTAATTAGACATATTCTAGAGCATAAATAAAGCAATAATTTACTCATATATTTTAATTAGAATTGGACTTTTACGACGAGAAAATATATAATTTATTTAAAAATTAAATATTTATATTTAAATAATTTTGTTTAAAATATTTTATTATGTATACTAATAAATTATTAATTAAATGAAACTGAATTTTATCCACTAAATCTGGAATTTATGTTGAACATTGAACATCATTAATTTAAGCTTTTTCTTCAGCTTTTATGAGCTGAAGAAAATTAATTATTTAACTTCAAAATAAACGTCCCATAGTATAAATGATGAATTTAACTTTACCAAATAATTCTTTTCACTAATAAATCAAATTTCTCAACTTTTTATAACTATTAATTTTGTCTGTTGACCCGTATTTCAGACGAATTGTGCCTTTAAAGAGTCTTAAAATCCTTTTTATTCTACCTTGATGTAAACAAAAGAACATTCACAAGCGAACATCCTTGATCTAGACCAATGATAAAGTAATTATTTTTGTCGAGATCAAGGGTGTTTATTTTTTAAATTCATTCTTTAATATTTAACTTGTACATCTACATTAATTTTTGGTAATAACTGTTAAATAATCTAGATCAAGGGAAATTTAAGGCCACCGAAGAAAAATGAACTAGATAAAAATTATAAATTATTTTGTTCTTTATTCGCTCTCGCTCTAAACTTAATTGTTGTAAAATGGTGATTTTTTGATATACCAAAAATTAGGGGAAATTCTATAAAAGGGTAGAGTTATCTATAGTTTAATTTTTTACATTATAGATGTATTTAAGGCGAAAGTTTAATTATGTTTAGTTTATTAGTCCCTAAGCATTGCCTGGGGCCCTAGTAACAGGGGACACCAAATTAATCTTTTATAAGAAAATATTTCCCCAAAAATTTCCTCTATGTAAAATGTCTGAAGTCAACACTGTACATAGGGCCCCCTAATTCAAATTTGCATGAAGCTCTAACGCGCAATTACTTATAGTTATATTTTATGTATTTTCTACTATATTAGTTAAAGTTTATAACACTCTAATGGCATTTAAACATTAATTTAATAAGAAAATTGGCCTGTAAGTCAATTCAAACATACTTTATTGTTTGCTAAATCTATATATCAAACTTATATTGTAAGTATCTACAAAATATAGTATTGTAAGGAGAATGAATTCTTTTTTATAGCGTTCAAAATATTAATATATATTGTAAATATATCAACTAGTTTATATATTTACATTATTATTCTATAATATATAGTAATATATTTACTATATATTATAGAAACTCTATAATATATATTTTAGTTTACGCATTCTAATCCGAACTACAGGAAGATGATGAATATCAACACCAATTGAAATCGTTCAATAATAATAATAATTATCTATAATAGTCAGTAGATAAGAGGATAATGAGTTCTTGGGATGGGGGTTTCCCTGTTATTGCTTCTATTATGTAATCATTTAATTATGAATTAACAGGAAAGGATTTAATAAGAATAAAGAAATTAATTTTTTTTAGTTTTATTTTATTCCTTAATTCGCAAGGAATTTAAGCAAATAATAAGTAAATTAACCAATCGAAATAGTTCGATTAGCAGTTTAAATTATCAAATATTGTTTCATTAAATTATTCTATTCTTATCTGCCTCACGGTTGTTGATAATTTAATTAATATGTTCTATTCTTCATAAGATCAAATGAAATTTTATAATTTATTGAGAATGAATAGTTTATGAATATCTAAAGCGCATTCTTGTTGTCTAAATAGTGTATACTTTTACGTCAAATTGACGTCATTAACAAACTTTTTCATTTAAAAAAAATCTAAGAATGACGTCAAATTGATGTAATAATATAACATTATCCGAACAAAACGAATTTACGTCTATTAAGTGATAAATTTTGTACTTTAAGAGCCATACAAAATTAAATTTCGTTTTGATTTTTAACATTTGAATTTGGAATTTTGCTATATTACATATTTTAATTATTATAAAATTCATAAAATATTATTTATAACTATATAAATTTTGTTAATTTTTACATTAAATTGAATTAAATTCATATACAGTGTATATATATGTCAGACTATATATTAATTTATTCATGTAAAATAAAATGTAATAAACATTTTTTGAATTTATATTTTTGTATTTAAATTCGTTATTGATATAAGCCTGTTGTAATCAATTTAATATTATGAAAAGTATAGATCTACTTTGATGACTATTTTATAAAATTTCGTTTTAATTTTAGCTTTAATTTCATTTACAAACAAATAAAATTTAATTGAAGCAAGGTTATTTATTATATTGCCAGCTCTTACATTGCATTTCGATGCCAAGAAGCGATAGGAATCAAGGTTAATTGAATTCGTCTACGGTCATGGAATAATACAGTCTTGATGACATTAAAACAATTTTATTTCATTTAGTTTAAGTAATTCGAATATCATATAAACATTTTACAAGTTATTAATTTATAAATTTAAATTAGATTTATTGCATTTTAACATTAACTAGAAAGTTTAAGGAGAAGACATATAAAAACACTCAGATTTAATTGTTTACTTGTATTGCTGATGCAGAACCTGTATATTTCCTTATGTAACAAGTATTTAGAATGCTTGACTACAGCTTTAATATTTGCTGAGACTATTAATGATGGGAAATTTTAATGTTGAACAGTTTATGATTCAAAATTCAACTAAACCAAAAGTAATTTGAGACACTCCATTAGTTATTTTGTTATTTTATTACATATTAATCTCATTTTATTGTACTGTTCTTAAATAAATTCATTTGAAGCTGGTTTGATGAATATAATTATAAGTAGAAATGACAAACTGAATTGTTGAATTAGTTTTTTTTATACTTCTTGATGTAGATACATTAAACATTAAGTTTAATAGATAGTACATTTACAGTATAGTGTAATTATAATATACAGAAAATTATATACTGTTTTGACTTGCTTGTTTTACAAGCAAAGGATATATAGTATTTGCTTGTAAACTCCCTTAGTTTTTCCAGAAAAACATTTGATCTATGATATTTAGTAGCAACTATAGTAATTAATGTGTGCAAAATGTCATCCAAATAAATACTATTTTTCATGAAAAGTAGATATTATCACGATAAAAATTAATCAGTACAGTTCTGTAATCTTATTTTAAGATTAGGGAACTATACAGAATTCTACGTAAGTTGCAGAGGATTGGAAGTATTAATCAGTAGAACATTTCATCGTACAAATTAGAAAATCAGTAAAAATATTCAGAGATATAATAGGGACTTTTTGTCCAGTCTTTGGCTTCTTTCACCCTTTTTATTTATTGAATTTTTGGAGTTTTGTACAATTTTCTCTCTCATTTTCATGAGAAAAAGATTCTTAAAGTAAAAATATCCATATTAAAATCTTCAAAAAATTAAATTGTACACTATGAACTACAAGACACTTTTATGTATTGAATATAAAATAATATTTCAATATTCTAGAATCAGATATAATTTGTGATCTACAATTATTTGATTCATAAAATACTTCATTTATTTCTATTTAAAATTTTCCTGATTTGAAATTTAAATTAATAAACTTCAAAGAACAGAAATAGAAGATCTAAAAGATAATTAAGCAGGATCTATAAACAGTTTTGCTGTTGTATAATAACCTGATTAATTGTTATTTATGTCATTTTCTATAATATATTCTTATGCAAAATTGATTGCTAACATAAATTAACAATCAATTATACGTAAGAATATATTATATAAAATTTAAAACAATTACAATTAATCAGGTTTGTAAAATAATAGAACGAATAGTCTCTAAGAGTAAGAATAGTCTACGAACAATGCAGGTAAGTGTGAAGGATTTTTAAAAGTGGAAGTTTAAAAAACACATTATTTTCATCCATAATGTAGCTTATTGAGCAACTCAATATAGTAGATTTAGTATTTTGTATCCCTCGGTTCCTCCTGTTTAATTTTAACTGAATTTTTCAATTATTTCCATATTTTTATGAAGTTCCCAAAAACCTCACCTTAAACAATGTAACTTGAATACTGATAAAGCTAAAGAGCATCCCTGGCCAATATCTTAATTGGTGCTATAACTTTTTGACGTGGGTTTATTTTAATTTTATTGTTTGTTCTTCATTTTTCTAGTGAGTTGACATATCAGTTACAAAGACTTTTAGTTTTCTTATAAAGGCTTTTGTCATGTTTTTTTAATCCTTTTGCATCACATTTAATTAAATGCGAAATTTGTTATATGCAATCAAAAAAATGCATTTTTACAAATATTTTTTATTGTTGCAACGAAAAAGAACTTCTTGCAATTATTTCAAAATAATTATTAATTAATATTTATAATTTTTTAATCATTTTATTTATAAAATGTTTATATCTTTATCTATAAATTTTATTGTTTATACTAACATTTATAAAAGATTTTTCCTCAAATTAATCTAAATAAAAACATTATGACATTAATTTAAACAAATTTTAAATCAATATAATTTATAATATGCAATGCGTATTGGTAAGAATTAGATAATTAAGCTTTGTATGTTCATATAGGATAAATAGGCCGAAAATTAATTGGCGAAATGCAAATTGTTGATAATAGATGGCGAGAGCATACATCGAAAGAAAAATTAAACCAATAGCGAGTTTCTCAACTTTCCTGGCAACGTTTAAAATTTTGGTGGTGCGTCATCTGTTATCATATTTTATTATAAAAAAACTTTTTATATTTTTAAATATTATAAAATAGCAAAAAGCTTAATTTTGAGGGTAAGGATGAGTTTTATAAAAAAAAAATTGTAAATGCTAATAACGAGTAAAATCGTCATTAAGTCCGACCCTACTGGAGATACACACGACCCCCTTTATCTCCTCATCCCCTCGACCTTTAACTATCAGAATTTAAATGCATCAATCCACCCAATACACAAACCTCCCTGCAAAATTTCAGAAATTTTCGACTAAAGCACAGAAGTTATTAAGCTTCAAAGAAGGTGAAAAAATTGTGCCCAACACTAACATCTATACATACAAAAATTACCCCCAAATTTGTTTGCATTTCTCGGCTTTTCAAGGTTTTCTAAGTCCAAAAATGTAGAAATCTTGGGAGGGGGTCATTTTTTGCCTGATCGTCATACTTTCCCTCTGTTATAACAGCCGGAAAAGTAAAAATTCAAACAAAATTCACTAAAATTGAGTACAAAGCCTAATATAATTTTCCGTTTAACCCTAGCATAATAACAGATATACAGACGGTTTCAATTCCATCCATTACGAGCCGGCTAAACTTATAATACATCAATAGTTTTCATGGATGAGGAATGATAAACCGAATAATCCAAGAAAAATTACGAGTATCAGAACGAATTCGAATTTAAATCTCGAAGGAGATAAGACCTTCACAATAACGATCAATTTGCACTACACTCTTGCTAATTCGGTCATTTCACGCACAGAGTTGCCATATTAGCGAGAGTGTCTAAGTGTAAATCCTCCCTAAAGTCAATGAATGACGTGATCTGTTGCTCTTCTGTTTGATTCTTTACTGTACTGTTTTTGTTATTGCGAAATTATGTACAGTACAGTGATAAAGAATTACGTATACAATTACTATATTAAATTTTATGTTGCATATCTACTGTATGTATTTTTAAAAACACGAATAAGAAATAAACATACTATAATAAGTATGCTGAATAATTGAGAAGCCGGATTAGCAAGAATGCTATTATTCAGTTTTCGAATAAAGATATGCATAAAAATCTCAAGAATGTTATGATACATGGGCATAGACTATGAATCTGAAAAGCAACTGCCCTTTAAATTCGGGAAAAATCAAACAAATTCAGGCAGAGAAAGCAAAAGGATTCACAAATTATCAGTGATAAAAAACTAACGGCATCTGTATTTTTTGTGTAAAATTTCGGCCAAATCAACTTCCTCTGTCCTCCTTAACCAGTGTCCCCATAGATTCATATATTTATGAATATAATTAGGCCCTACTATACAAGCAAGTCAGGGAAAGTATTAAACCTTATCAAATCCTTAAATCGTTGTCTTAAAGGCAGATTCTCATTGAAAGATTTCATATTGCATAATTGTCCGAACAAATTTCATGTGTTGTTATTTTGTTTAAAAATAATAATAATTAAAATTGTACTTACGTAAAATCGAAATTTGACAACAGAAGAGTAGCATTATAATCATTAAAATAAGTAATAAATCCAACAGAGATCATTCCAGCCAAAGATATGACAACTCCTGTTAATATCGCCCAATGTTTGGCTCTAAATACATAAAAAATAAAAGTAAATTTAAAATAAATTATGAATTTTAATTTATATACAACGCATTTATCTATAATTAATTAATTCAAATATTTTTATAAGTCATATTTTATAAGATACATGAAAAATACAGTCGAGCCTCCATGTTTTATATTCCCATCGATGGCCACTAATTTAAAGGTTCGACTGTATTTTTATCACAAAGATAAAATTAAATATTGAATTAAAAATTAAAAAATTGCAATTAATATATACATTAAATTTCAAATTTATATTAAATATTATTAGAATTCAAATTACAAGCAATATTTAATAAATTTTATGCTTTAAAAACGCCGTTTTCGATTATATTCACACAATACAACTTAATATATTGTGTATACGTATAATGAAATATTTACAAAAAAGTTTATGTCAAATATCTTAATTAAGAGGGGGGAATAAAAATATATACAAGCATAAACTTTAAATATAATTATAATAAATTTACATAATTTCCCCTCTAATTTTTCAGTATGATGAAAATGAAAACAATGTTAAAATAATTAATGTTATAATTAAATCTCTGGCAACTGTCACTGACGGAAACATAAAAAATTGCTGTTATTTAGCGGTTTGACTGTATTATAATTTAAAATAAAAAAATCGATATTACTTTAATTTCTTGCTACGAGATGTCGCTATTATCTAAAGTGTTCCTCTAACTAGATGTGTGACGTCATTGCTTTGAAGCAGCCATTTTAATGTTAAGGTGGAATGCGAACGTGAATTAAAGGTCGAGCACTAAGAATTTATTTTTCAATTTTTGTGTTTCTGTTTTGTTTCTTAGAATTTTTATAAATTCTCTAATTGAAACTTTTTTAGATAAATTTACCATTACGTCTAAATTTGGAATATTATTTGCTTTGTCTTTTTATACAGTTTTAAATATAAGTACTGCCTGTTAGAAAGGAATTTGGGTATAAAAGTGCCAAAAATATCACATAAAGTCGAATCTCAAATAACGGCCACCAGTCTGTTTGAAACGCATACAAAATAACTTCCAAAGAACGACCACCTCCGAAAAACAGCCATTTTTTTATGTTCCTGTCAATGGTCACTGTATAGAGGTTTGACTGTATTTTGTATCACATTTAGAAGATAAATGATAAATGTATAAGAGGAAACATGAGGAGAGGAAAAATTCCCGAAAGAAATCCATTTCAGAGCTTCAGATAGTTAGAAAGAGAAATAAAAAGTTATGAATTTGATAAAGAAATTGATGGTACGAGACAGCAAGCAAACGGGTTCGACCGGACTGTTAAGGATATTATATAAGTAATGTTCAATTTTTCAAGAAAATGCAAGCAAGACTACTATACATGGTAACATGAAAAGACTTGAACCATAATGAAAAGGTGAGAAGCCACAGGAGTAAAATTTTTGAAGAAAACGAAAACAAAATAGGGTGAGGTAAGGAATGAAGATGGAGAAACTTAATACGAAATTTAGATAGCTGAGTACGTTAAAAGTTCAAAGGTAAACACACAGTTATTGTTAAATAATCTTAGTTACAAGAGAATTAGACCATGAAAGAGGAGATGGATTAGATGCTGGAGGATATGAGAGAGAAAAATATGAATATGCCAAGTGAAAATTAGGTTTATTGTGAAGAATAATAAAATGATAGGAAGAAATGAAAGTTTGTAGTCTATGGTTCGACCCGAGATACTTTCGGATAAGGAAGAAGAAAGAGAAAAAAATTTATTGATTTAAGAAGAAAAAGTAAATATATGCATTATCATTACATCAAGTAAAATTGTGGAAATAGAAAAATAAGAATTAACTAGAAATTTTTGATAGTTGATAAATTTTATTGAATGATATCTAACCTTGAAATTTCTGTTTATATAAAAAACAAAATCTATCATTAACAATGACAATTCATGCTAAGATTACATATTATTCCCGAATTGGCCTACGTAGAAGAGAAAATATATATATACTGTATATAACTTGTAAGTCAACTATAAAATATAAAATTTCCCATTTTTTTCCAATTTTTACAATCAAAGCACGCAATTTCTAAATTACTTGGACTTTACGCAATTTCGAATTTTCTTCAAAATAGATAAAATCAAATTTCTTGTTTATTCCTCAAATACCTGCAAATTTATTATATAAAAAGAAATTTTGATTTTATACTTAAATTTCTAATCAATTAATTGCGATAAATCCCATTAAATAATTTTATTATAGTTTCTAAATGAAATAAAAACTTGAACAATTTTCTGTGAAATTAGATTGAAAACTCGTTTCAATTAAATAATTTTTTTAATTGTTTTGATTGTTGAATTTCAGAACCGATATATCCGCATATTGTTTACACTTTTGTCCTTTAATTAGTATTTACAAATGAAGGAGACCTTGATTGATCAATACACGAAATTTAGCGGAAGTGAGGGCAAATTGATCAGTTTTCTCTTTAAGGATCTTTGCAAAAAACAGTTATAAAACAAAAAAAAAACTTCAAGGACAAATTTTAAAATATATGAATTATATTCCAGAAAGCATTTTGATTTTTATAAATAATTACTTACAGGATAACATAAATCAAAGTCATAAAATACTATTGCATGACTTTCATTTAAATTATTTCATTCTTTATACACGTACTAGATTAAAGGTATTGCGGCAATACCCCTAGGCTAGTACTATACTTGTACTTGTATGGATAATAATAGGAAAATATTAAAATTCTTTATTAGTTTTCAAGTATTTTAATACATTTAAAAAAATTTATTGTAAATGTTAATAAAATTATACGTTTTCCAACCGGATAGACGAGGCGATTAAGGCCTTAATCTACTCCTTTGGGGAATTTGGAATCAAATCCGGGCGAGAAATTTCGGGAAGTTTTCGGGATGGTCTATCCCCTGCCCAACTGGCCGCTCCATTGTGGGCCTAGTCACGATGAGCACGGAAAAAAGGCTCAATTAAAATATGAAAATTCTACCACGAATTCTTAATTAATGGTAGAGCGTAAAAACGTTGTCATTGAGCTTGATTCAAGGATGACTGTTCTTTATAAAAAGCATAAAATACAAGAAAAATTTGAAGATGTTTTAAGATTATAAAAATGTGAAGGATAAACAAAATCCTGCACGCAATGCGGATATGCAAAAAACTCGAATCTTGATTCAAGAAATACACATTTTCAAACTTGTCCTTATTACTTTACCTTAGGGTCATTGATGATTCGAGTTAGATGACCCTACAAAATTAATAACTTTTAAATGCAAATTTGTTCAACTTTCAAGGTATTTTAAAATCCTGGTTCATACTGTAATATTTATACGCGTTACTTGATTTAAAATTATAATTATAAGAATAATATACATTTAATCTTACCTCCAGACTATCAGAAGAGAAAGGATTATCAATGCGAAACTGTATAATTGTATATCGTTAGCCACATACCAACTGTTGTGGAGGCACTATATTAAGGAATTTCATCAAATTTATCATAAAATTTCTAATATAACAATATAAATTTAATAGAAAATTGCATGTTTAAAGCATTATTTAGATCAGTGGCACGTGGAGCACGAAGAATTTGAATTAGGGGTCGTCATATCTAGTGTTGATTTCAGACATTTTTTTTCGGGGGAATTTTTTGGGAAATATTTTCTTATAAAAGATTGTTTTAGGGGCCCCCTGTTAGTGGGTGCATCAGGCAATTTTCTAATGCACCCACTAACAGAGGGTTTCTTTTTGCTCATAAGATAACGCGCCGCTGGTCTAGATATGATTTCAACTTAATCATTTTTTTAAATTAAAAAACAAATTACCATATTATTAGCACTGACAATGAAATTGTTTATAAAAAGTAAATTTTTCCACCAATGTTCTCTGCAAAGTTGTGCGTCTTTCTTGACAGTTTGATTCCAGAGAGGACCAGATCCCGCGTTTGGAAGAACGATAATGCAAGCCATCAGAAATAAATAAGTTGGAATTATTCTGAAAAAAAAAATGATTTAAATTCAAATTTTAGGTTAAAAATTACACATAAAAATTAATTTTCCATGATAATTTGATGCACGTTTTATTGTTAAAACAATCCCGAATAAACAGCATTGAAAAAATTTTATGGCGTAGTAAAGTTATTTATATGATAATGTATTAGTCTTTACGCTATATGAATTTAAATCAAGTTTGAATGAAGACTTTCTTGATCATCTCCTGTAATAAGCGTTTCGTGGAAATTTATTTGAATTATTTCTATTATTATAGAAAATGCTTAGAATTTAATCTAGAAAAATAATTGAATTTGAAGGAATACTTTTCAAGTTACACTACTTTTTCCTTATTGTATTTAAATTATTTCCGGGTTTCGATTCTGGATTTGCATTTATTTAATACACGGAAATATTATATATTGGATACGTAATACATATATTTTTTATTGTAATAAATTTTGCTTTGTATTGCTCTATATAGAACAATACAATAGTGAAAGTTTCTCACCATTTATTGGTATTTTAATAAAGTAAAAACATGAGTTAGATAAATAATTTTGCTGAGGTACAGTACGTTGATAATATGAGCTAATATTGTTTCGTTTTGTTTTTCAAAAAATAAAATTTATGTTGAACTTTGAGAGAATAAGAATAATAATAGTTTTATTTTCGAATAAATAACGCTATTTACTGGAACTTTAATAGGCCATAGAATACCATGCCAGGTTAGATTTTTGGTTGAGTTTTTATTTACTGGTATGTTGATGAATGATTGAAGGAATATTTACATGACACACTACATTCTAGACTCTGTAAGTGTAAATTAGGGCTGCGAAGAAAAGCAAAGACTAACTCAAACTTACTATTGTCTCCAAGAAATTTGTTCGGGGATGCATTATCATCTGGAAATTCTTGTTGTAAAAGTGATATACTTTGGCTGTACATTGGTGACAGGGAATATGTGTCGAACTACGAGAAGTATTACAAGTAGAGCAGGTTGATTGTACTTATGTGTATTAGTTTTGCATGAGCTATTCTTAGCCAAGTCATCAGTACTTGTTCTTTCTTTTCAGTTAATTGAATTTTGAAATAATGTGCATTACTTACAATAAGCTTGATCTGGTAAGCTTGTTTCTTTCAGGTGTACTTTCAATACACGAAATAAATTTGTATTTAGAACTATTTATTAATGATTATACTTTTTATATTGTTGAAAACCATGTAAATTGCGAACATTTTTGTTGTAAAAACTAACATTTGCTGGTAATTGCATTGCTTTCCAACTAGTATAAACACGTGAGAATACAGTTGGAATGATTGTTGTTTTGGATTCATTCGTAAACACAGTTTATTAGTGTTTACGAAAATAAATTATCTTATCCTCAATGAAAAAGAAATAATTTTAATCATTTTACACTTGTCAATTTCTACGGTTTTAACAAAAATATATTTATACTTTGATTATACAGTGTATATAAGTGTTTATAGTATATATGCACAGTATATACACTATACTGTGTACTGTGTATTTGTGTATATGTTACCGCTAAAGCTCGAAAGTCGTTAATGTGTACAGTACATTACCTAGCTAATCTGCAGATTAACTAGGGTAATCCGTTAAAGTTGCTAAAATTGTTCTATTTCTCAAATTACCTAGCTAATCTGCAGATTAACTAGGGTAATCCGTTAAAGTTGCTAAAATTGTTCTATTTCTCAAATTACCTAGGTAATATGCAGATTATTTAGGTAATCTGCAAATTACCTACTAGGCACTTGGTAAAGTGAAAATAAGATCTGTGCTGAAACAACAGCAACGTTTCTGTACGCTTAAATTAACATAATGTTCTTTATTTAATTTTCGATATCTAAAGAATCAAGTTAATACAATCAAACAATCGACAAATTAGTTGATAGAATCAATCATCAACCAATTAAAAAACATACAAAAAATCAAACGATTTAAAATATTAATACAATTAGGGAAATTATTATATAGATCTGTTTTTTTTACCTTCTTGAATACGCGACCCATTTACAAGTTAAAAAACTTCTGGCGACCCCCCAGGGCCATATTAAAACTATATTAGTGATTTTAAAAACTACGTATTTAATTTTCTTTCTGTTGAGACCTAAATATCGATCGAAAAACCAATTGTTACTTTAAAATAAAAACGCAAAGCCTTCTGACTGAAATTGTAGTTTTATTTATTGTAGTGTAGGACCTACAAACACTTGTCTTTTTCTTTTACCCGCGACCCCTCGGAAGGCTTTGCGATCCCCCTGGGGGTCGCGACCTACAGGTTGAAAAACACTGATATAGATAACCACCTATGGAATTTCGGGACTTTCAGTATCTATCTGAACTGAGGGGACCGAGACGACTTCAACGATACACTACTTTTGGACCGGAGACGAAAAATAATAAAGTTATCATACTTTTTCTGGTGATTGCATGATATAATTGTGCAGTTTATGTTACCTATGGTGAGTAAAATGGCGGCTCGTCTCCGATTCCAGCAAAGAGAAGAAAGGAAACAGTGGGGACGCACGTTCTAACCTAACCTAACCTATTCTAATAAATTACCATAATTATTACCAATCAAATTATTCGAATAGGTTAGGTTTGAACGCGCGTCCCCACTGTTTCCTTTCTTCTCTCTGCTGGAATCAGAGACGAGCCGCAATTTTACTCACCATAGGTAACATTAACCAATTGTGCTTACTTATTAGTGCAGTCTAAAGATTGGTGACACTTTGAATTTCATAGCAATTGGTTTTTGCGACAAGCACACCTATTTGTGGTACATTTATATGCGGCAAAGATCTTATTTTCACTTTACCGAGTGCCTAGTAGGTAATGTGCGGATTACCTAGATACTCTGCACATTATCTAGGTAATTTGAGAAATGGAACAATTTTCACAACTTTAACGGATCACCTTAGTTAATCTTCTTATTAGCTAGGTAATGTACACATTAACGACTTTCGAGCTTTAGCGGTAGCGAATATATGACTGTGTGAATGTATGGAATTGTGAATATAAAGTAAAAAATATATAAAGTTTTCCCTATTTTTGTGCATATATATATGCACATACAGTCATATATTTATATACTGTATATATATATATATATACAGTATATAAAGGAAGAGAAAAATCTTGTTTTAACGCAGCATAGAAATTATGCAGTATAAAGGATATGTGACTAAAATATTGAAAAAACATTTTACATATTATATACACATAAAATAATTAAAATACAAATATATTTTTGATACATATCTAACATAATTTGTATGCTGTATTAAGACAGCGTTTTCGCTTTCAGTTGTTACTAAATAGATAATTTATCAATGCCGGAAATAAAAAAAATTATATTTAAATTCACCAACTTACAAAATATGCGTGCATTAAATATAAATATGCACATTTCTAAATGAATTATTTGATTATAATCACATTGTACAAAATTATATTTTAATATTTGACAATGAAAATCTTATAACAAAGTTTTAAACTGAAAGACTAAATAACGAATTAAATAGAAACAATTTAAATTTTTATTAAAAATAAGAGAACGTTTCATTCTCAGCGTAGTGAAAAATATGAATTTATTATTTTTTTGTAATAAAAATATACTGAATTTATTAATAAAGCTGCAACATCATTATCACATAGTAGGAAAGGCTTTTTATGGAAAATTGGCCTCTAGAAAGGTGTTAGACACATGAAGAAAGAAGAAAACCAGAAAGCAACTACACATGTTTAGTGATTATATCGACTCGAACATTGTTGGAAACGTTTTGAATAATATAATATAATAATTTCGATTATAAAACGAGATTTACTTGCTTAAAATTCATGGAAACAGCAAGATTAATCACTCGTGACAGTGTATCAATGCTTATTACAATAATATTTAAGGAGGTAACGCTAATTTTATTACTAATTCATTAATTAAAATCGTATAAAAATGGTACCTTTAAAATGCAATATAGAAGTTGATTAAAAACTTTTTACGTATGGAAATTTGTTCTTAATCACAATGTTAAGTTTTTAGTAAAAGATTACGCTGTAAAATATTTGGCAGTTTGGCGTTATTCGGGAATTAAACCTAATTTAAATAAAAATAAATAAAAGAAAGTTGAACTCTCTTAATATCAAATCTCAATAAATGAGAAAGCTGAATTGTTTTTATGCTACTTGAAAATCTTCCTCATCAGCAAAAAAAAACCTAATAATAGTGGATTAATGATATCTAGATTAATTAAAAAAACATTATTTTTATTACTGCAATAAGCTAAAAGAATGTAATAAATACGATAAATTTTGACTTTAGTACTTGATTTTGAATCGAAAATTTTGCTTATTTGAAAATCTAGCACTATTTTTAGAATTTTTATCAGTATTATGATAAAATATTGAACAATTATTCTGTCTTGTTGCATGTCATTAATGTATAATAGAATTTACATTACTGGTATAACATAAAATGTAATTATACAATGTACTGTACATAAGAGATAAAATCAGTAATTTTGTTCAGGATAAAACAATTATTGACGTTATATTTAATTTAATTACTCTTTGATTAATGAAACATACATTTTACATTTAAGGAAATGAACTTTGCAAATTACTGGAATAATAAATTATTTATAGATCAATATGCAGGCTACGGTACGATATAGTTACGCAGCGTTACAGGGGAGTGATACACACTCTGTAATGCACATATTCACTCCCAAAATTATGTAACAATATCCACGATCAATATCTTTAATTGTAGTAAGGAATAATGGGCAATGAGCGTTATATTATTTCATTAATTACACGTGTAATGTACAATAGAGTGACATAAACTGTACAGTTCGCTAAGCAACACTTCAGAAAGAGAACTGAATTATTTTTTTACCCAAGGGTTGAGACTCTAGCATTATGTAACATTTTTTAAACACCACACCTCTTTATGACTAATCGTATTACCTGTATAACTATTC